TGGGGGGGGGGGGGGTGGAATGGGGGGTGTGGAATACTTTGTATACAATAATTCAACTTAGAGTGAAGATAAGTTTGGTATGAGTATTTAAGTTAAACAGATGACATTCCACAAGTACATCTGACCTTTTTTGGATGTGCTCTGTTCCTACTTACCAGACTTTGTAAACCAGAGCTTCCTTAAGATAACACATTTTTCTTTCTTACAAATATGAAAGATCTGCAATGTATTTATGCCTGCATTGAGGCAACGAATAACTTCACAAATAACTTAGTAAGCAGCAGCCAAATAAACTGTAGTGCAGTAAAGGAAAGCCAAATGCCTTTAAAACCACACCCTACCCAACTCTATGACACAAATCACGAAAACGATTACTTTAACCATTTCATGGCAAATCTATCTGCCACAGCATACCTGGAAAGGCACCTCTGCCAAGGGGGGTGACTGTGAGTCCAGCAGCAGGCTGTTGGCAGTGGAGCAGTTTGAGCTCACGGGGCTCTGTGCTTGAGCAAATCGGGTAACGTCATCTGCAACACCAGCATGTCCAAATACCAGCCTCCCTCATCAAGCAGCACAGGCACAGGCTAAGCCTTGCAAGGGCTCTTAAAAGAAAAAGAACATAAAGATATTCTGCAGAGGATACACATAATATACTGTGAACTGATGCTTTTCTGTTTCTGCTTTCTCAGTATATAAGCTGTTCCTTCAATAATCCTCGGTGAAGAAAATACCATAAAATTTGAGAAAATGTATGCTGTGAGAGTTCTCTGCTTATAGCACAAACAGCATACATAGTGCATATAATTAATATGCATTATGTGTATTTTATATTTATATATAAATATGTATCTCTCTCTTCAGAGGGACGAGGACTAAGGGACCAGTCAATATAAAAAGAGGGAACATCAGTTTTATTTCTCCCAATAAACAAATCCCCTCTGAATGTCAGGTCTCTCACCCTCACTGTGGTAGTATCCCTGGACAGGTCTGAGGTGCAAAAGATATTTGACTCAAAAAATGGTAAATTTTGGGTAGAAGAACAATATAGAAATGAAGTGTGAGGGAGTATTCTCATTTCTTTGCCACATTCCTGTTTCATGGTGTAGTAACATTTGCTTACTGGGCTAACTTCCATACTACTTACAAGGATGTGGTTTCACAGAGACACTGATAAAACACTAGTTATCCCTTAAAATATCTGGTTCTGTCCTTTCTTTGGAATGTTTCTTTCCACATACTTGAATATGCTTTTCTCACAGAAGATAATAACTGAAGGAGTAGATTATTACTATCACTAATTCACGTGCAGGGCAGCGATGGGCTGGGAAACCAAATTTTCCACAATTCATAAGAGAATTTCCAGACATGCTAAAATGATCTCTCTTGTCAAGAAAAATGTTTATATGGTTAGTATTAAATGTAAGTCAATATGAAATGTTCCTTGGAAAAGCCTGCCAGGAGACAAGACTTGGCAAGATATTAAGGAAACTGCTCAGTATACACTAAGTTTAGGATAGTCAGATGTACCTCTGGGGTATGCGTTTCTTTGTCTCGCTATAATAGCTAGGAATGGAGATTTGAGTATGGCCTCAGGCTGAACCTCTTCAAAAGCTCAGGAACTGGATATTGTGAAACAAGGAATTTTCTGTTACTTCCCTGAACAAAAGCTTTATGTCCTGGTAACCCACTAGGATGCCTTTAGCTTGCATATGAAATCACCTTGACACAATTCCCGTTTCCTGATGTGTGTCAATTTAGCATAAAGCATTTGCAAGCCATGGCTGTTCTAAGGTAAAATGCCTCCTAGTGGCTGATATGACATAAAGCTGGTGCTTCAGACATGACAGATAATTCATATTCCAGCAGTGTATATTCAGTTTCACCATTTGAAGGAACCTTTACATCGTGCATATTAAACTAACAAAAAGTGTAAGAACTTCAAATGCTTCTTTAGGAAAGAAATCCATCCTCTACCAGCCAGCACAATTTGTGCAAGTATTTGTTAGCCTTAGAGTCTACATTCATCCCATTTGAGTGTGTAGAGTAAATCAAGACAGCTACTTCCAGAAGACAGCATAAATTTTAGCATTTTAGCTAGACTAGGGGTACTTGGCACATTCCACCAACTGCAAAGGAAGCACATGCACAAACCTGCTGTCACTGGTGCCAGATGGATTTGGGCCTGTCTCAGCTGCATCTAAGGTGGTTAAAGGACATCTCAGCCACCTGAAGTGAGACACTTCCCATACATACACCCCGTAGTCCTTAAGGGACTTCACCGAGGTCATCAAGAAAACTCTACTGTTCTAAAAGCAGTGTGAGAGCAGAGCTGGAAACCCTTCATTATTACTCCAAATATTTTTTTGCTCTAATGTAATTAGAACATTTTCCTTGTAATGTAAATATTATCTTGGATCTTTGGTCAGGAAGCTGATTTCTGAGGTAATGACTGAATCCTAAAATATCTCTGAGAAGACTTATTGACCTTTCAAATTACTTTCAGTCACAAATGACAGTTTTATAATTAAATATAACCACTGCATATAGGTTTCAGGAGGCGGAGAACTTTTTGTGTTGAACACCCACTTCTGATTCCCTAGAAAAGAAGGATGATGTCTTAGGAAAGCTTGTAAACACCTTGATTTAACCATTTTGCTTTCTTCTTTCATTAATTTGTAAAGATTTGATAGGTAGTGAAGTAGACAGTTAACCGCACAGGTGCAGTGTATTTGTGAGACTGTCAGACTGACATTTTTAGCAACTCCCTATATGCAACAGTGCATTGTCTGTTGATAAATTAACTCATTTAAGGGTAATGACTATCTTTAATTAGTAAAAACCTTTTCCTCAAAGATTTTGATAACGCAGAAAAATCCCCCTCCACTGTCTGGAAGGTAAAACCAGATGAAGCATGTCTGTGTGCCAACAGATAATTACACCATCATAAGTAACCCAGGCTATGTGAAGGTATGAAAGATCAGGGGTTTACTGCTCTTCCATTTTTCCTAACTGTTTTTTACCAAGCACATGGCAGTCAAGGTTATGCTTAGGAAAATTGAAACATTCCTTTCTAGTCTGGAAAAATCATGCTAAATGAAAGCCTTGGGAATCCACCCCCTCTAAATATCACATATATATTCTTGGAAATACGACAGATTTCATAAAGACATTTTAAATCACACATCCCTGGAAGACATTAGCTTTAGGAAAATAAGACCATTATATATTCTTTCCATTATTTTCCAGATTTGTTTTCGATTTGAGACCAAATCTGCGTAGATTGATTTTTTAAAAGAGGAGGTGGAGTTGGAAACATCCACTGCTTTATCACATGGGGAAGAAGGAGAGGTAGAAGGGTGTTGTCTCTGGCATGAATATTACTGTTGATGCCTCAGAGTCATTATGTTTGCTCCCTTCTTAGTGCTGCAGATTACAAGCAGACCCTATTTCCTCTTCCAGCTTCTGCCAAAGTTTTGAGGTTTGAAATAGGCAGCCAGGTGTCACATGAAAATCTTAGCTGATGCCAGCCTTACACAACAGATGTGTTTGTTGGATGTTAGGTTTAATAGATCTCATTCAAGAGAAGGAAAGGATTGAATTATTATCACTTTTTGTTTCACAGACCGGCTGATAAACCAGACTGACATGGATCCATTAGTCATTGTCCCATTTATGTGCTAGTATTGTTCAAACCTTGTTTTAATCAGAAACGTGCGAAAATGGGGAATACCTGGCTTCAAAGTTAGGAAAGTGTGCTGTAGGTCACTAATGGAAATGATGTAGTCTGTCATTTAGCATTTTGGATTAAAAGCAATCTCCTCAGTGTTAAAAGGTGCAGCCTAACAGTAAGGGGAAACAAAGCCTGCTTTCCCAGGCCAGTGGGCACTGCAAAAATTGTATTGCTTTTCATGTTTTTACAGTGGGTTAGTAGTCTGGAGAAGAACACAAGCCGCAGCTGCTGTAAGAGTTGCAAGCTTTAATTTGTTGGTTTGAAGGAATAATTCATCAAAACCCGCAGAAGTGGAAATTAGTGCAATGGTCATGTCCATTAATACTTCAGATTATGCTGGTCTTTAGTCACGCTTGTCTAAGAAACTAGGCAAAGATCTCAGCTAAGAAAAGGAAATCCGTTGGCCATGGCAATGATATGATGTTAACAAAATGGGGGGAGGGGGATGTTTGTATTGAAGTAACTGGGTTAGTTTCCCACATCATTGCA